ATATGCAGCAGCGCGTCCTGAATACGAATAACCAGCATGCCTGCAGTTCCACATCAACCAAATGCATCAAAATTATTCCATTTTGAATCATTTAGAAAAATTTTCTTGAAGCAACTTACGGAGCAATTACACCACGTACATCCGGGGATTTAGACAGGCCCGATGCCCTCAACCATCCATCAAGCTCCTCCGCAAGTTTCTTAGCTAGAAGGAGAAAGAGAGAGAAAATCCAATACACCAGAATTTATTATCCATTTGACTTCCACAACGAACTACAAAATTTAACAAAAAACAAACACCAACATCCTCCCTATCTCCTGGAATCTCACACATGCATGAGCAATGAAACATTCTTCCAATTTTTTAGTGTTGTATATTTAAGCTTGCATAGAAAAATGTTCACCTCTAAATCATAACCACAAGTATGTGAGGATATTTTGGATCAAAGTGGGGAGAAGACTTTATCCCCTCATTTGTTGACTAAAAGTTTAGACTCAACACATTATGTCAACCCACGTCGGAGAAGAAAACGAAAACATTTCTTACAAGGGTGTGGAAATCTCTCCCTACTAGAGGTGTTTTACAATCGTGTAGACGCGAACGGTAATACGTAACGGGGCTAGCGGTGGGTTTGGGCTGTTACAATTACCAATAAAACCCGGCTTCTCAAACATAGCATAAGCAGTGTGATGTACGCATAATCCATGAACTTCTACAAACTACCTTACACAGCTGGGAAACCCCAAAAATCTCTCTAGCGTTTGAATTGAATCAAAATTCAACACTTTCAATTTCCCCCCTTCTGCATTCAAAAACAAGGCCAAAATCGAAAATTCCACTATCTTCCAGAACCAGAAACTTTAGAATGATCAGCAGAGAGAGAAGACAGTATCGCAAGCTACTTTCTCCAAAGCCAAAATGAAATCAATCGCAACATTTACAGAGAAAGCAAATTGAAGAATTGAAAAGAACCTCACCAAAACGTGCATGAATTCATTTACAGAGAGTAAAAGAAGGCGACTTACAATTGTCGGTGTACCAAGAACCGGCATGAGACGCTCTTCTGATTTTCTCCATAACAGCAACTAAGATCGGATTGAATCAAAACGAAAAGGGTCAGAGAATCAAACAGAAACAAGAGTGAGATGAGAAAGTAATCCCTGGGTCTTCTTCTACTGGATTGCCTTGAGAATCGGGATGAAGAGATCCCAAAGTGAATCAAATAGAATAATGAAAAGAGAAAAAAATGGAGTGGGAGAAGGAAGATCAGAGCAGAACTAAGAACTGGTTATGAAGTATTCTGCTTTCTGAGCTTTCACGCAACTTCCCCATTTTTTAATTTCCCGATTCCGCCGCACCGATAATTACGACAAGTTTTCTGCTCCTTGCTTCTATTTGGGCTTACGTGGGCCGAAGTCCGGAGGCCCATTTCACCCCCAAATTTCTTTATTTACGTCAAGTTTTGTGCTCCTTGCTCCTCTTTGGGCTTACATGGGCCGAAGTCCGGCGGCCCATTTCACCCCCAAATCTCTTTATTTACGTCAAGTTTTGTGCTCCTTGCTCCTCTTTGGGCTTACATGGGCCAAGTCCGGAGGCCCATTTCACCCCAAATCTCTTTATTTACGTCAAGTTTTCTGCTCCTTGCTCCTCTTTGGGCTTACATGGGCCGAAGTTTGAAGGCCCATTTCACCCCCAAATTTCTTTATTTACGTCAAGTTTTGTGCTCCTTGCTCCTCTTTGGGCTTACATGGGCCAAGTCCGGAGGCCCATTTCACCCCAAATCTCTTTATTTACGTCAAGTTTTGTGCTCCTTTCTCCTCTTTGGGCTTACATGGGCCGAAGTCCGGAGGCCCATTTCACCCCCAAATCTCTTTATTTACGTCAAGTTTTCTGCTCCTTGCTCCTCTTTGGGCTTACATGGGCCGAAGTCCGGAGGCCCATTTCACCCCAAATCTCTTTATTTACGTCAAGTTTTCTGCTCCTTGCTCCTCTTTGGGCTTACATGGGCCGAAGTTTGAAGGCCCATTTCACCCCAAATCTCTTTATTTACGTCAAGTTTTCTGCTCCTTGCACCTGTTTGGGCTTTCATGGGCCGAAATTTATTGATCCAGCCACCGCACGTGGCAGTTCTTCATCGATCATCAGCTTCAATTATTCGATTATTGTCTTATTATTTTGTCTGCCACCAAGTAATTCGCTAATTAATTAAAAACTAATAATTCATCAATTTTCTTCCTACTTTCTCTTTGTCCGGCCCGTTTACAACAGATTGTGAATAGATCTGAAAATATTATTAGTCGACCAAATAATATAGAGCAAAGAATGAGGAAATAGAACTAAGATCGAAAATTCAATAACGAGCAAATAGAAGTGGAACAAGAGATTCAATATTTAAATATGATACAACATACCACCTAATACCTAAAATAGAAACAAACTAATTACGGAGGATAAAATAAAATATATTACAAATCAAATTATATAAACAAAAAAATATATAATATATTTATTCATAATATCTATATATTTTATAACTAATATATTCACTCGGATATCCTGACTAATTTAAATAAATGGACTAAATTTTGACAATTTTATATCACAAATAAGAAATATAGTCATATTGATAAGAGACATCTTACAGAAGTTAAAGTTATGAGAACTCATACTTAAATTGAAGCATATCGTACCGTTCAAAAGTCGTGACAACCACGGTTGATTTCTATCGTGAATAATTCGAAATCAATTTGATTTTAGAAATGTTATGGGCAGATTTTTGGCGGAAACCAATCAATGAATCTTTGTAATTTTACAGATCATCGGCCTTGGACACGACCGAAAGACGGCTGGGGCGTGGCCGGAAATTGGCTCGCCGTCTCAGCTGGTGTGAAGAAGGTCGTATCAAAGCAGTCAACGCTCGCTTCACCCAGTCTCCCTCAACGCCGCCGATTCTCACGAGCGAGTTCGTCATCGCAGACCTCCGCATGTTTAACCCGCTCGATGAATACGTCTGATGGTGTCCGCCATTGCCTGAATTTCTATGCAGACTGCACCGGAAGGAACCGGGGTGAGTCGTTGGCGAACAAGTGCACGTCTTTTTCGGTTGAGAAACCGGCGAGTTCCGGTTGGAGAGTGCGATGGACCGACTCGTCGAACCGGACCGGTGATCGATTGAAAATCGAACCGAGCGAGACAGGGGACCGGAAGAAATGTTGACTCGAGTAGGAGAAGCGGATCGCTCGCGGTTGTGAAAAAAGGATGAGGAAGTGGAAGAGAATCCGAAGCTCGTTGACGCGGCGAACGGAGAAGAGATCGGAGAGTGAAATCGGCCGGCGGCGGGAAGTGGCCGGAGAACAGGTCCGCTTGTTTCCTTCTTCATTGGGGATTATGTTTGGCGAAACGACAGGACGGCGGGATTTCAGTAAACGGAGTTCGTCTCGGCGGTGGAATTTATAGGTCCGGGGGTGGGTGGATCGTAATTATGCTATAAAATTTAGGGCATGGTTGAAATATTGTTGGCCGTACGATTGCGATTTCCCATCTAACGGCTAGGACGACGTAGGCAGTAATGGATATTATTAAATAATAAGAGATCAAAATTTTTAATATTGTAATTAAAAATGAAATATGTTGATTATTATCCGCAAAAGAGATAAGAAAAGGTGACGGGGAGATTAAAGTAAGTTTAATTTTAATATAATTAACTAACCCAATGAATATCTTACAAGTCGAAGAGCGAGATATCCGTTTTAACCCCAATCTCCAGGGATAAGATGGACTGTTTAAAGGATAAAAACGTCTTTTCAAGTTTTGTTTGAGAAAAATAAAATAAAATAAAAGATTTTGGAAAGTCCAAGATGATGGAGGAAAATAATTGGAAATTCGAATCAGAATGACACCTGTCGTGTGGGAATGCGTAGTTTAAGTTACACGTGGCGGAAGATGATTGGTGATTGCACGAGGGGCCTTCCGCTTTCGTGTTAGGCAAATTGGATGCTGTGGAGATCGGTGCATTGAATTATGGTTGAGGTTAATGATCAAACGCGGGCACATGGACTTGCTGTGTGGTCGGCCGTAGAGGAAACATCCAGAAGAGTTTTGAAAACACAGCATGAATACTCGGTTTGACTCGTGATCTCAAAATTTATTTATTTATTTCCATAAATTTTAAAAGATGGATGGTTTTTGTTTTATAACTTTAGATTTAAATTTACATTTAAAATTGGATAATTATCTTTTTTTAATTTGAATATACGATAAATTAATTATTAAACAAAAATCAATTCAATATAATTATTTCTTATTATGGTAAATCTGAAAGCCCACCAATCTAGAAGAAAAAGCCCAAGCCCAACAATCTAGAAGAAAAAGCCCAAGCCAACCAATCTCAAAGCGTGACCAAAAAAAGCCCGGGCCCATTCCTTCCCTCACATTGGATATTTATATTTATAGTTTTTATAATTTAAATTTAATAAGTGGGAGATTTTATTTAAGGATTATCGTCTATTGAAAAATGTTTTTGACGTAATTTTTTAATTACTCTCTCTTGATTTTTTTTTTTTTTTTAATCTAAAATGGTTTATCTTTTATAGATTTTAATCATTTAATTTTAGAAATTCTAATTTTCTTTTTTATATTTAGCAAAATAAATTATGATTACGTGAACAAATATAATTTAGATATAAGGAATAATACTTTCTTTTTAATATACGATTGTTCATTCATATTTATTTCTCACATGTTTATAAAATTTACATTCACATATATAAAATTTTAGTCACACTAATTTTTTTTTATTATTAATTTGTTAAATAAAATTAAAAAGATAATTTTGAAATAAAATCCTTCATTTTTTTAATTGTAAAATGTAATCATAGGCCTCTCTCTCCCTCTGAATCTAATAGGAAACGACACTAGAAGACAGGGCAGAGGGCATAGTTGTAATTTCGGTATTTAGGGCTTTCCTTATAAACATCTCAAAGCTTCTTCGATTCGCTTTGTTGCCTCTAGGGTTTTTCCATCGCGCCAGACTCTGCGGCTTAGGCGTCTATCGGATCTTCGAAACCCTAATCATGGCGGAACAGGTATGGATTTTTTCCGTCTCCCGGCGTTTCTTTCCGTTCAATCAATGTCTGATTGGCACCTGCATTTATGAAATTATGTTCTGTTTGTAATGCAGACGGAGAAGGCTTTTCTGAAGCAGCCCAAGGTGTTTCTTAGGTAAGAAATCTACTGGAAAAGCAAGTTCAAACATTGTACTTTATGCAGGCAAGGCCGTTTTCTTTTTGCCGTCGGATAAATCATTCTATCTACTTCGAGACTTTCGTTTGCAGCTCGAAGAAATCGGGAAAAGGAAAGAGACCAGGAAAAGGAGGAAATCGGTTCTGGAAGAGTATTGGTTTGGGATTCAAAACTCCGAGAGAGGCAATTGAAGGTCTTACACAATAACTAGATTTTCATTTACTAAATTCCCGTACATTGCCTTCCTGCTTCTTTTTAGATCCAAATATTGTAGTCTCCTTCACTGTAATCTTGAGTAAATGTTATCTGCGCAATCTCGTAATTATAGATCCTGCATTTATATTATTCAGCGAGTCATTTGAAACAATGTGGTTCTTCCCTTTGCATTATCTGATCTGGCCATTGGGGAAGTTTGATTTGCTTTCACCCTATGACTATACTAATCAACATATTCATTGTTAGACGTATGATTCTCAGCGTCTTCTCATCTTAGTTGTACTAAAGATTTAAGAGTAATTCTGCTGCAGGAACATACATCGATAAGAAGTGCCCATTCACTGGCACTGTTTCTATAAGGGGACGTATACTTGCTGGGACCTGCCACAGTGCCAAGATGGTGAGAACCATCATTGTTAGACGTAATTATCTACACTACGTGAAGAAATATCAAAGGTGAGAACTAAATACCCAAAATTTCATTAGTTATCTTTAATCCTTTCTATGAATGAGAATGGTGACACGGGTTGTTCATTTTTAGGTACGAAAAGAGACACTCTAACATTCCAGCACACATAGCTCCTTGCTTTAGGGTAAAAGAGGGAGACCATGTCATCATTGGCCAGTGCAGGTTCATACATAACTTTCTACGCCTCTGCTGTCTACTGTGACTTCGTTTTTAGTCATTTTCTTAATGGATGGGTATCTTTGCAGGCCGTTGTCAAAGACCGTGAGGTTTAATGTATTGAAAGTCATTCCTGCTGGATCATCCACAGCTGGTAAGAAGGCCTTCACAGGAATTTAAGCCCAGAATTTTCAGGTCCCGTATTTGTTTATGTTAAAGAGATGATATGTTAGCATGAGTTTTTTTCTTTTTTCAGCTAGATGTTCTTTTCACTTCATTTGTTGACCGAATATCTCATTATTGTGATACTACTACTGCAATTTTGATTCCCTAAGTTTTTCTCATTACCATCGTGTTTAACTTCTTAATTTAATAGCATAACCTTCAATGCCTTCTTTTATAATTTATGCCACTTCCACTGCATTATGAATTTGTTTATATCTATTATGTGACGAAGATCATAGACGTTTATTTAATGATGTAAGCAAGGGAAATTAATTGAATTATGAACTATTGCACGTAACTGAAACTTCAAATGATTGGAAGTTGCTTAGCAATTCCAAGCGTTGAAAGTGGAACTCAAACCTAATAAATTTCATATGCAAAATATCATCATGAGTTGATATTTGGATGAGGAGTGAGAAAAACCAGATGGGTTTGTTGACATTATTGGAATATATGGCTTCGATTATGTCGCTGTGTTCTTGGTTTGAAGCCAATTCCATCCATTTATTTAACTCAACTTGTTTGATTTTATGCCTCATTGACCTCGGTGACTTTGTATTTTATTATTATTGATATGATCCGATCGCCAGCCCTTTGATTTCATCAACTTCTCCCTCTTAATATTTAGTATTTCATTTTAGTCTCAACTGGTTAAGGTATCATGGGACTAAAAACTCGAATTTTCAACTTAAATGTAAAAAGAAAATAATGTGGTTTAGTTTATGGGCTTAAAACCATTTGGTATATGTTAATTATCTTGTCATCGATAGTGACTTTGAATATGTGAGCGGACATTTATTAGAGCCTCCTAACTCATCCTAGACCTTAAATAAAAGTTAAATCCTATTTACAAAATTTAAATACTAAGATTAAATCTACTTAATTAATTTAATTTATTAGCTATACCTACTAATTAAATTAAATGAGTATGAATTATATTTTCCTTTCCACTCTTGAAAGTCAACTTTTATCTTGAATAGCAAGTCGATATATCTCTGGTTGCCGCCTTGCCATCTACTCTGGTTTCCTTTCACCATCTACTCTGGTTTCCTTTCAAACTTCTCTTTCACCTATTCTCAATCAGTTATTTGAATGGTGGGGGCATTCAATGCATTTGATGTAGACAATAAAAAAGAGGCTTCCGACATTTTTTAAAATTGTGCTTATGCTCATGATTGTAAACAAAACACGAAAATTGTGCTTATGCTCATCATTGTATGATTTAGGATTACTTCAACCAAAACACGCCTATGTTTAGAGTTCTTATGATTAAGTGTGCTTATGCTCATCATTGTATGATTTAGGATTACTTCAACTAAAACATGCCTATGTTTAGAGTTCTTATGATTAAGCTAGAAAATAATTATCTTATGATTAAGCTAGAAAATAATTATTAGTATAAGTAATAACTTTAGATTCTGGTGAGGATTTTTTTTTTTTTTTCATCTATCTATAACTTCAGATTATGTTAAGGTTTTTTTTAGTAATTCTATCTTTCAGGTAACTCTTATTTTAAAATATAAAAAACAAAAAATTTAAGTAAAGAAGACTTCATCAATCTCATAATAAGGAAACCTCTTAAAGTTTGAAAATGTCCAATGAACAAACTTGCGCCTCAAACAACCTTTTATTTTAATATTAAAAAATTATTTATATTTTAAAACTTAATTTATGAATTTATTAGACATAAAAGATAAAAGAGAAGTATATAATAGTGTGTAGAAACAAAATTAGAAAAATGAAATTTTTATTTGATTATTTTAAAAGTTTAGAATACCAAATAAAAATAATTAAATCCTTAATTTAATAAAATTATTATTATTTGACAAAAATGATGGAAGAAAAAGTCAAATGATGTAGAGGTTTCGTATATATAATGAGGAGGGAATAATATATCGAAGCCTCAGAAACCAATTCCCAAACATCGTCTCCTCAAAAACTTAAGAGTGATCATGTACAAAGTAGCCAGCGCATCGGAGTACCTAGCCATTACCGGCGTCGGAATCTCCGACATCAAACTCGCCAAGAAGGCATGGGTTCTCCCCGGTCAATCCTGCACCATCTTCGACATCTCTCCCGTCAATTACACCTTCGAAGTCCAAGCCATGAGCGCCGAGAAGCTCCCCTTCATCCTCCCCGCCGTCTTCACCATCGGTCCTCGCTCCGACGACATTGAATCCCTTCTCAAATACGCCAAGCTCATCTCCCCTCACGACAAGCTCTCCAACCACGTCAAGGAGCTCGTCCAAGGTGTCATCGAGGGAGAGACACGTGTCCTTGCCGCCTCCATGACCATGGAGGAGATTTTCAGAGGCACCAAAGAGTTCAAACAAGAGGTCTTTGGGAAGGTGCAATTGGAGCTCGACCAATTCGGGCTTTTGATTTACAATGCTAATGTCAAACAATTGGTGGACGTTCGTGGGCATGAGTATTTCTCGTATTTGGGGCAGAAGACGCAGCAGGAGGCTGCCAATCAGGCGAAGATCGATGTGGCGGAGGCCAGGATGAAGGGGGAAATCGGCGCGAAATCCAGGGAGGGACAGACCCTTCAGAATGCGGCGAAGATCGACGCGGAGACTAAGATCATTTCGACCCAGAGGCAGGGGCAGGGGAAGAAGGAGGAGATTAAAGTCAGGGCGGAGGTTAAGGTGTTTGAGAACGAGAGGGAGGCGGAAGTGGCGGAGGCCAACGCGGAGCTCGCCACGAAGAAGGCGGCCTGGACCAGAGCCGCCCAAGTTGCGGAAGTGGAGGCCGCCAAAGCGGTGGCGCTCAGAGAAGCAGAGTTGCAGAAGGAGGTGGAGAGGATGAATGCACTGACCATGATTGAGAAATTGAAGGCGGAATTTCTAAGCAAAGCCAGCGTTGAGTATGAAACAAAGGTCAAATTCATTCAATTTCTTGTTTGAATTGGATTTCTTCCATTAAATTTCTCCAAATTCATCACAAATTGGATATAAAATTGATAGGTACAAGAGGCGAACTGGGATTTGTACAACAAGCAAAAGAAAGCAGAGGCGGTTCTGTTCGAGAAGGAGAGGGAAGCGGAAGCGCAGAAAGCGCTAGCCGACGCGGCGTTTTACGCTCGACAACAGGCCGCCGACGGAGAGCTCTACGCCAAAAGGAAAGAGGCAGAGGGACTGATGGCGCTGGCGGAGGCTCAGGCCTTGTACCTCCGCTCACTTCTCGAGGCATTGGGTGGCAATTACGGCGCTCTCAGAGACTACCTAATGATCAACGGAGGCCTGTTCCAACAAATTGCCAAAATCAATGCCGATGGCATCAAAGGGCTTAACCCGAAAATTAGCGTCTGGACAAATGGGAGCGGTGGACAAGGTCTGGAAGGCGGCGTTGGAGCTGGGAATATGGCGATGAATGAGGTGGCGGGAGTTTACAAAATGCTGCCGCCGCTACTTCAGACGGTTCATGAGCAGACTGGAATGGTTCCTCCGCCGTGGATGGGAAGCTTGGGCGAGTCTTCTCGGAACTGAGGCATGGGTTACTTGTTTTGGTGTATCAATTCAAAAAATGTGTCAATTCCAAAGAATAAATGGGTGTAAGCAATTTATACGCTTTTTTTTTTTTTTTTTTTTTTGG